AATGTCTTTTTTTTTTTTTTTTTTTTTTTGAAACTGTCAGCGTCAAACAGTTGCATGTAATACACAGGTCCAGAATAAAGCTTGTTTTTCTGTGGCTATTATAGTAAAGGTCAAAGGCTGAGATGTGACGCATTAGTTGTGCACGGTCCTGATGTCTAAATGGCACACTCATTATGATGGACTTCTACCACCGCATGTGATGGTGTGCTATACCACTGGTCCGCATCCTGCTGTATTATCCATCTCACTTTAGTGACTCGTACATTTTGTCCCTGACATGCTGCGTATGTTTTTAATCCCAGAGGCTTCTGGGAAACAGTACGTCATCACTTAATCAGTGGTAAAATTTCTGGCAGTATTTCATGACAGCATGCACAATGTTCAGACCAGCTAATGTCCTTTTATATTTCACCTCCATTCTTGATAGATATTTTGGACTGAGTGGATTAAAATAAACTGTGGCACAGGTTGACTTTTATTTTGCTTATATTGTACAGTGACAGGGAATGTTCACATAAAAATGAAGATTCAGCCACCATTTACTTACCCTCATGTTGTTTCAAACTTGTAAGTTTTTCTTTATTCTGTGGAACACAAAAATATATTTCTAAAATGTCTATCTCATATAAATGCTGTTCTTTTGAATTTTCTGTTTATCAAATAATCCAGAAAAAAAAGTATCACCCTTTTCCCACAAAACTATTAAGCAGCACTATTGTTTTCAACATTGATAATAATTAGAAATGTTTCCTGAGCAGCAAATTGGTATATTAGAATGATTTCTGAAGGACCATGAGACACTGAAGACTAAGTAATGGTGGCTGAAAATTAATCTTTTCCATGACAGGAATAAATAACATTTAAAAATATGTTTGAAAACAGTTATTTAAAATCATAATAATATTTCATAATATTACTGTTTTTATTGTGGTTCTGATCAAATAAATGCACCCTTGGTGAGCATAAGAGACTTCTCAAACATATAAAAAAAAGCATATAGAATTAATTAATATGATATCCTCTCTCAGGGAAACCAGCACTTTTATGTTCTGGTTATGTTGTATTTGCGATTCCCATCATTTATTTAGGCTGAGATACTTAGATCAGTGTCGGACACATCACAGAAGCCTTTAATGAAGGCTTTCCAGTAACTGGCTTATTATTCTTATGCCCTGACAGCCTGTAGTCCATTGTGGGGTTGCAAACTACCTGTGGTGTATGTATATTGATGTGCAGAGCGATTATTAGTCCGTTTGAGCAGTGGCTGGACTGTGTTTCTAATTGAATGCCGCTGTTTGGTCTCTCTCCCGCTGAATGTTTTTTGTGTGTGAGTGGAATACCAGATTTAGGAACACTGTGGTCGGCTGATGAGAAAGTGTTTGTGGTCATGGGAAGGCAAGATAGATAGAGACATAACATATGATTGATGCACTGCATTAACACCAGTCTGCTGTTTTCCAGGATTCCATTATCTTAAAACCTTTACGTGCAACAACAGGAAATAAAATGTTTGTGTGAACAGTGTTCTTGGTTCTTTTCCAGTGATCTCGGCTTGATGTACTGTTTTGTCCCTCAGGTTGGATCGCTATCTTGGGGGCTCTGTGGTTACTGGTGCTGGCCGACATTCAGGACTTCGAGATCATACTTCACAGAGTGGAATGGGCCACCCTGTTGTTCTTTGCTGCTCTGTTTGTGCTTATGGAGGTATGGTAATGCTCAAAAAATGCCCACATATCCCAATGTTCTGTCATCTATTACATCGTAGTAATGGCTAGTCATTGTTTACCAAGATCAGTTTAGCTGGTCACCGGCCCATGTTGTTTTGGATGTTAGTTCGGAGCCTGTCATGCCTCTAAAGTGCCCCCTAAAATTTATTTTTTTAAATGCAACCAAAAAATGCAATAATAAAATAAACATTAAAGGGGTCATATGATGCTATTTAAATTTTTCCTTTCTTTTTGGAATGTTACAAGCTCTTGGTGCATAAAGAAGATCTGTAAAGTTGCAAAGACTAAAGTCTCAAATCCAAAGACATAATCTTTATAAAAGTTAAGAGTCAACCATGCCTACCTAAAACGGCTCATTCTAACACGCCCCCACATGTCTACGTCACGATGTGGGAAGATTTGCATAACGCCGCCCAAATGTTCACGCAAAGAAAAAATGCGTAACTTTTATTCTCGCTGTAGTATTGTTGTTGCCGCCATGTCGTGAAGGTGTTGTGTGTGTTTCGTTGTGAAAGTGAAACTACTTTGTTGGGCCTTCCAAAAGAGGATCCGTGCTGGTCGCTGAGGAAATACATCAACTTCGCGCTGTGGATTGCCAGATCGGCTTTCACCGTGGACGAAGCGGAGTCCACCCCGGGGTCGTCACGTGTGGTTGCCGCATGCCCACCCGCCACCGTTCACTCTAGGCCACCGGCCGCCGTGATGCTGTGTTTCGTTGTGAAAGCGAAACTACTTTGTTTGGCCTTCCAAAAAAAACACGACTAGAAAGCAGTGGTTAAGTTGTATTTACAACACTGTTCCAGAACAGTTCAACCCAAATATTCAGATGTGTGCAGCGCATTTTATGGAGGACTGTTTCCTGATCCT